GTGTGTATGTCCGCTTTCTGTAGCGATCTGTTACCATACTCTGACTTTGTAATCTTCATCAGATTATCCAGTAGATTAGTACCTAAAAGTACTGGTACTCGTGAATTGTACTTGCTATCAGGAACAACCAAAAATAAGCACTGCTTCAATACATCAAGAGATGAAAGTCCATAAGTGGTTAAGTCTACTACAAAAAATCCCATGTAAGGCATCATCTGCTCATCTGCACACTCAATATCTATCTGCTCATCTAATGGATACAGCTCTGTCATTCCCTGCAGATGTGTTGTATAAAATGACTGGGATATTGTAGAAACAGTTGCACCAGTATCGAGTAATGCCAAACATGATATTCCATTTATAGCCACCTGTACTTCAATAGCTGTCCCTACTATTTGTGAGCTGATGGGACCACGGTGTTGTCGGCCAGACCCTTGTCCCCAGGATTCGGCCATCTGTAGTTTAAACTCCTCCTGTGGTCTACCCTTACTCGACAACCAACTGCGATGTGGCCCTCCTGGCCACATTTATGACAGATAATACTACCGCTCCTCCGAGGCATCTGTTGTCCTAAATCAACATCAGTGACTCTTGGTTCAGGCATTCTGGGAGTAAAACCTCTACCGCGACCTGAGAACTGTCCTCTTCATCTCTGATAGAGATGTCTACCTCTGTAGTTACTTGATCCATAAGAGGGTGGATTGTAGTAAGATTTTTGTGTCGTTTTCAGCTGATTAATTTGAGCCTGCAGGGCTTCAAACTTACTTTCCAAAGTGCATGTTGTCTCAGGCTGAGATACTCCTGCTTTTGCAATTGCTGGCTTTGACTTCACTTTTCCTTGGGCTGGGTGTTCAGTCTCTATTTTCCTGATTTCCACCCGTAGCTTGTCGAAGTCGTTGATCGAATGGTACAGGTGTCCGCAAATATCTTTCAAGTCGTGTCTGAGTCCTTTGTAAAACATAGTGCGAAGCATCTCATTTGCTGCACTATTCTGAACTTTACCCATCTTCATCGCCTTGCACAAAATATCCTCAAGACGGCAACTCCATGCGGAACAAGTCTCATCATCCTTCTGTTTTGCGCTGTAGAATTCAGCTTAAATATCCTCTTTCTCCAATACGTTTCCATAAATACTGTCCAACTTACACAGGATTTCTTGCACACTTACACCTACACCTAATCTCATGATGACTTTGGCTGCTTCCCCTTTGACGGACCGTCTGATGGCTTGAAGAATAGACTCTACAGAATGAGACTCTTTCATGAGACAAACAAGCTCATACTTCCACAGTTCATATGAGTCCTTTTCATCACCAGAAAACACAGAGATCCTCAAGGGTGCCTTATAGTAAGAGCCGGTAGGTAACGGTGGTGGCAAAGTTGGTGCTTGTGTGGTTGCTTGTGTGGTAGGAAATTTCAGTTCCTTCTTAACCTGTGGCTGTTCTTCCTGTGAAGCTAACCATGATGTGAAGTTGTCTGGTTTTATCTTCATTTTCTCCAACGTGGCATACAGACTTTTCCACTCTTTCTCTGATACTTCGCTAGCCGTAGCTCCTTTATCAGCTTCTGTCTCAGGTGAAGTATCTGTTACACTTGCGTCTCCTTCGGATTTCGGCATGTTGTACAGTAATGATGAAATAAACAAAAATATAATCAGAAAAGGAGGGTAGTTCAGCATGAACTAATCATGGGGGAGTAACAAATAACAAAGTATTATTTACAGGTGGGAGTTCATGACAGAACTATAAACTGATAAAATGGGCTTGTTTCAAATATTTAAAATGAATGAATATCGCTGATAGGTAGTTTTCCTAATAAATATGTATGACTATGAATGCTTTTCAAATAAACTCAAGATATATTTCAATTGAATACTAGATATTTCAACGAATGAATAATGATATGTTCTACTGAATGAAATCAAAAATCAGCTGACTGAAATTCAAAGGCTGAAATAAAGAAAATTTGACGCAAAATAATTACCTGAAAGAGATAATAACTTCCAATACCTTTGTAGCTGTAGTTCAAATGACTTTAAATGAATAATGAACAACAAACACTATGAAAATAAGGCAAATTTCAATATTTGTTTACCAAATCACGTTGTCTAAACTTACTTCCGGTCAAAATAAATAACGGGGATTTCGAGCTCGATCGGAAATGCGCAATCGGAAAAAGAAACCGATCTCGATCAAATTGCGGGACGAACCCGATGTAAATTAAGTACTAAATAAATGAAAACCAATAAAGTATAAGGTGGGCACTACACTTATCAGTAAAACGAGCAAATATAATAATAGAGACTGTTAAAATGTTAAAACCTGTTTAAATCAACCCTCCAACAACTCTGAAAACTGCACAACTAAGAACCAAAGGATATAATTCACCTGTACACAAATACTAACACTTGATCTATTATACCAGAAAAACTGAATCAACTAATTCAACTGATATGTCTGTAATATATTTTTGTCAAAAAGTCACTGTCAAAAGAGATAGTATTATTAATTAATTTACTCAAATTTTAGTAATTCAAGGGTACCTGGATCTCTGGATATGTGAATTTGTGATACCTCACTAACCAATCTGGCACTCAGCTGTCAAACTTTTAAAATTAACCTTTACACTTAAAACTAAATTAATCAAAAATTTTCAATACCAAGGGTACCCAATAAATATGTAAATTTCAAAAATACAATAGGCTTGCAAGCAAAGAAAAGAAAAAAAATAATTATAGAGCTCTTAGTATACAGGTAAACAATTCTAACAGTAACACTCACCAATCAGCTGATAAAATCACTTGTAGAAAATACACACCATATATGGCACTAAACACAAAGCACAAAACACAAATAACACAAAGAATGAATAATGAGTCACCAAATTGTCCAAAGGTGGTCTTGACGGATATGTATCCCGCAGTGGTAATCTCGAAGGATATGTATGTACCGGTACTACATGCAGTCACTCACGACACTGTCACTACATCATCGTAACATATGGTACGCATACATCACACATCACAGTCCGTCCATCCGTGAATAGGATCTACACTATGGTACGGACACTGGTCAGGTAGACTGTTCACTATGGATATCAGAAATGGTGTAAGGCTGCTGGTTGTTGCAGAGAGGGTCTCACTGTCTGTCCCAAGGGTCCCAAAGTGGGCGCCAAATTTGTAACAGGGTTGATGGTAATAATGAAAACGCCTGTCAGGGTTCGTACTGTTTATTAATTGTAGTGGAAATAATTACATCTAATATTGCCCTGAAATAAATAATAACAATATTGAGAATATCATAAAATCATAAATGCACAATTCAATATTATACACAATGCTGCATAAAGGGAGGTAACTCTTACATCCATTACACATCTTGACATATAATATAATACTCTCTTAGAATTTACACTTTGTGCATATAATTAAAATACTTTACAACAAAATATATATTACTATTAAAGCTATAATATCTTCATTGACATTATATACCTTTTATTAATAAACAATAAATCATAAAAACAACCATTCTGAGGGAATAGGCAAGCACCCATGGCTAAATATCATACAAGTAGTACAAGGCTGGGAGTCCAGATGATAACTATAAATTATTATAAACCTTATATAATTCTCTGATCATAAAACACATATGTACATATTATCTGGATCATAAAATACCTTTAACTTTACTGCTAATAACTAAGTAAAAATCTGTCTTACTGTGCAAAAGTGCTATGGAAATTAATATTGCAGGAATTACAGATTTCACATTTAATGAACTTTATATTAAAGATATGTTAAAGTTAGTAAATAAATATTAGCTTACCAGAAGATGAAGAGAGTCACAGTCAGAATGTCAAATTTGTCAAACCAAAATAAATAGCACCTCTCTACAAACAATCTGGACAAAGAGTGACCAGAAAAACCAAGAACATTTGGAGGGAATTTGACAAACCAATAAAACACAAGAACACAAAACTAAAACCCAATAGAAATAAATGACTTATAGAACTTATGGCCAGGACCTTAATCATATCCCTGAAGGCAAATAACAGGGTTGCATTGTCTGTTACACCTGAATGACCATACTCTTATCTAATAAGCTGAAATAAAAAATATATACAAACAGAATACAAAATTATTTGATATTTATAAATTAATGAGAAATTAATTAATAAATCATCACTCTTACATATATGTACATTTGTAGCTTTTATTGTCATTTACATTGTACCTGTCTGTCTTTAGATGTGTGACATACATTGTGAAACTTCCTGTATAAAGAAAACAAAAATAAATTTCTGAATAGTTGTTGAACACAAATATTTCAAAATGAATGTCCCTTTCATTTAATAGTACGTAAAGGGACTCTAACCCTAACCCTAACCCTTAAGGGACAAATTAGAGGATTAAAAGGGACAAAAGTCTTTCATGTATAACTCTTTAACGGTCAATATTTTGCTTTGATCTACTGAAGCGAAACTGTTTATAATTACGATTTGCAACTATATCTTTTATATTTGTGAATATTTTTAAGTAATAAGGATAAGAATATTCAATTTTTTGACTCTTTTCTTTATATCTTGCAAAGGAAAAAAAAAAAAAGAATTTGATATGCAAATACGTTTAAGATAATGTGATTTAAATCTCTAGAATGAAATTTGAGGAAGAAAATGTTAATATCAAATATTTATGTCAAAATCACATTTCATATTAGCGAAAAATCGAAATGAAAGGTCTTTCAACAAATATTACATATGTGAAGTATAAATGTACTGGTGTCTACTTTTCAAAAGATATGGCTAAAGTAAAAGTTTAAAATTTTCATATAAAAGTGGGTTAAACTCCAAATATTGATACTCCAGATATTTTCAATACATCTGTAATTCTAGAAATATCTTCGGCTTTCGGTGAGAAACACATGCATATATAGTACACGTTTTGCAGTCGTTTTGCAGTCCTGTTTCAGAGGATAGATGTTTGTTTTGATTGTTTGTAGATGTACACAAGGCAGATGCTGGGACCTTGACCTGTGAGGTGTTAGAACAAGTGAAAGAAGGAGGAAAATGGGTCAGGGATGACCCTGTAGCCAAAAAGTCTGTAGCCATTAAAATCAGAGGTAAGGATAATCCAGAAAAGTCTGTAGCCATTAAAATCAGAGGTAAGGATCATCCAGAAAAGTCTGTAGCCATTAAAATCAGAGGTAAGGATCATCCAAAAAAGTCTGTAGCCATTAAAATTAGAGGTAAGGATAATCCAGAAAAAGTCTGTAGCCATTAAAATCAGATGTAAGGATAATCCAGAAATATAGGTAGCCATTAAAGTTAGAAGTAAGAATAATCCAAAAAAGTCTGTAGCCATTAAAATAAGAGGTAAGGATAATCCAGAAAAGTCTATAGCCATTAAAATCAGAGGTAAGGATAATCCAGAAAAAGTCTGTACGCAGCACAGTTAAGGTGCGCAATGGAAATATCGACTAAATTTTGTATTTAAAAATGTATTTGTAATCGGAATGGCGATTATTTTTAGTACATTATTTATATCGGATAATTTTAATTATGATTAATAACTACATATCGACATTTATATTTAGACTAGTCACGTGATGCGGCAGTCACGCGATTTTAGCACATTGACTTGCAGTATTGATGTCACATATACAACTAATTTTAATTGTAACGGGGACTGTTACAGATGTTCCCCAAACGCTCCCCAACTCCCTTTTTGTGCCATTTTCCTGTAAGATTTTCTTGAAATATCCTCAGTATCAAAGGATTTTATCAAAGAAATATAAAAACTAGTGATATAAACTACATATCATATACGCACATGCATGCACATGCAAGATGATCATGGCATGTTATCTAAACTATTAACATATCTTTATATCGTGAGAATCAATAAAAATATCATAAAAATATAAATGTCACTGTTTTTAAATACATTAGTGATTTAACGTATTGCGCATGCGCACGTGCATGCATGCATGTCCTTGTATTCAATTTTGATTGTACTATAATGTAGGAATCCATTATACCTATTCATATTATAAATTTCATCTCGTTTCGTTGAGAACTTAGCAAGATATAGTCATTTAAAGTTTCAGCCAATCAGATTGCAGTACACGTGCATGCGCATGCTTTCATGATAATTCTTATATATCTTGCTGTAGATCTTCATAGTGTATGACTATGTTCAAAATTTCAAATGATTTTGTCAAAAAACAAGAAAGATATTGAGACTTTAGTTTCAGCCAATCAGAGCGAAGTGCACGTGCATGCGCGTGAGATCTTGCTATTTTGATCATGTCATCATATTTATACTACTAATATATCTTTATATAATGAGTTTCAAAGCATTTCATCAAAAAATAGAAAAAAATTTAAGCTATGTCTATTATATTGGGTATTTCACGTGTTGCACGTGCGCGCTCTTGCAAGCACGTGCGCGCAAAATGACCTTGATTCCTCAAATCTACATAACATGTCTACTGACCCTTTAAAGTTTTACCTACATCGGATGAACAGTTTACAAGATCACTCCCGGACAAAAAAGTACCCAAGAAGAAGATGAAGAAGAAGAAGAAGAAGAAGAAGAAAATTAATAATAATAAGAAACAGAGTAAAAACAATATGTTCCCCAACTTCGTTTGGGGAACATAAATATCACTAGTGCAAGGGCATAACCAAGTTTAATTTCCAAGTTTATTATATAAATATTTTCAACACACCTTGTAGTTTCTAAAAAGTGCTGCGATCCTGTCTAAATTCTACAATTTCATTGTTAAAATTATATTTGTATGACCGAATGCTATATTTTTTGCTGGTCAGCGGCATGAAATATTGATAAAATTAAATTGTTTTTAAGATTTCTTCAGGATCGAAGCACTTTTCAGATACCTTAATAGTTCTAGAGTTGAAATGTAAAAGCTTACTATGATCCATAGAGTGTATGCCCTTGCACTAGATCGATTTATTAAGACCCCCATATTACCCTCCGGTGTAGTTGCATACAATTATACGACAGTGTCAATTAAATACGCAATGTACTGAAAATATATTAATAAAAATAGTGAAAAGGACATTAAATTCAAGTTTTTGGCCCATAGAATATCTGTAAATAATATTTTATTTAATTAGAGAAAACATATTTTATTGAGAAAATATTGCTTGATCTGTCTCTCACTGCATACAAACTACGTCACGTAAGAAATGACGTCATATTGACAAGTGTATTGCGATCAGTGACTGGTACATAACTTGTTATGTGGGATTTAACTAAAGACAAAACAACACGCTGTAGTAAGTTTTTATGTAGTTGGATGATTTCTTTCTGGTTAAATGAGCAAATCAACTCATTTTGTGGTATTTTAAAGAAATGTTGTATGACGTATATTGTGTATGATGTCATAGCCCCGCCTCCTTTTTGTAACCTTAACTGTGCTGCGTAGCCATTAAAATTAGAGGTAAGGATAATCCAGAAAAAGTCTGTAGCCATTAAAATTAGAGGTATGTATAATCCAGAAAATTCTTTAACCATTAAAATTAGGGGTAAGAATAATGCAGAAAAAGTCTGAAGCCATTAAAATTAGAGGTCAGGATAATCCAGAAAAGTCTGTATCTATTAAAATTAGAGGTAAGAATAATCCAGAAATATCTGTATCCATTTAATCAGAGGTCAGGATAGTGTAGAAAAGTCTGTAGCCATAAATAGAATTAGAGGTAAGGATAATCCAGAAAAAGTCTGTAGTCATTAAAATTAGAGGTAAGGATAATGCAGAAAAGTCTGGAGCCATTAAAGTTAGGGGTAAGGATAATGCAGAAAAAGTCTGGAGCCATTAAAGTTAGGGGTAAGGATAATGCAGAAAAAGTCTGTAGTCATTAAATTAGAGGTAAGGATAATCCAGAAAAAGTCTGAAGCCATTAAAATAAGAGGTAAGAATAATGCAGAAAAGTCTGTAGTCATAAAAATTAGAGGTAAGGATAATGCAGAAAAAGTCTGTAACTATTAAAATTAGGGGTAAGAATAATGCAGAATAAGTCTGAAGCCATTAAAATT